GTTGGTGCCAGACGGGCCGGTCTGAGTATTTCACAATCTGCTAGTGATGGGCAGATCGAGGCTCCGTGATGCAATGAAACAGTTGAAGCAAATTTGCCATTTTGTTTCGAGGCTTCGAATCAATCCACACCCGTCTCCATGGCGAGGTCTCACACTTGCAGGTGTTTTTCTGAAACAACCTTTACAACGAGCCATTAACAAATGTGTTGTTTTTTTTTTATTATTGTATTTTTCTAATATATGAAGCTTGTAACCTATAGTCTCTTCACATTGCATAATGTGTTTTCCCAACCGACCTATCAATCAAACCCTGATTCGGCGGAGCACTCCACCTGATGAAACACTTAGAAGCTTCATTTAGCCGTAGTCACGTAACGTGGGTGTTTTGAATCACACTTCGGATCAGTATTTCGAATCATCTGCGCTTCGGGATCTCGCAAAGCTTCAGAACGTCTGTTTCGCGTCAGCCAACCCTACAATCTGCTCAGTTACTGGGATTTTCACGCACAACCATTTCTAGGGTTTACAAAGAATGGTGTAAAAACATCCAGTATGCGGCAGTCCTGTGGGCGAAAATGCCTTGTTGATGCTAGAGGTCAGAGGAGAATGGGCCGACTAATTCAAGCTGATAGAAGAGCAACTTTGACTGAAATAACCACTCGTTACAACCGAGGTATGCAGCAAAGCATTTGTGAAGCCACAACACGCACAACCTTGAGGCGGATGGGCTACAACAGCAGAAGACCCCACCGGGTACCACTCATCTCCACTACAAATAGAAAAAAGAGGCTACAATTTGCAAGAGCTCATCAAAATTGGACAGTTGAAGACTGGAAAAATGTTGCCTGGTTTGATGAGTCTCGATTTCTGTTGAGATATTCAGATGGTAGAGTCAGAATTTGGCGTAAACAGAATGAGAACATGGATCCATCATGCCTTGTTACCACTGTGCAGGCTGGTGGTGGTGGTGTAATGGTGTGGGGGATGTTTTCTTGGCACACTTTAGGCCCCTTAGTGCCAATTGGGCATCGTTTAAATGCCACAGCCTACCTGAGCATTGTTTCTGACCATGTCCATCCCTTTATGGCCACTATGCATTCATCCTCTGATGGCTACTCCAGTAGGATAATGCACTGTCACAAAGCTCGAATCATTTCAAATTGGTTTCTTGAACATGACAATGAGTTCGCTGAACTCTTGAATCAATGCCACGTAGAATTAAGGCAGTCCTGAAGACGAATGGGGGGGGAGGGGGATGGGGGGGGGGGGGTCGAACACAGTATTAGTATGGTGTTCCTAATAATCCTTTAGGTTTTTTCGTAAATGTATTATTTCGCCAGGTGTACTGAAACATGGTATATTGTGATTTATTACCTTTTTTAAGCTGCAAATGTCCCCACAGGAAAACTTGTCCACATATGTTTTTATCTAATATTATCATGTTCTCAGTCTGTCCATTTCACATTTCCATCTCCTTCTTCCCTTTCTTGTTCAATATTTTATTCCTCGTATTGTAGACATATTTTAAAACAATTGAGTGCATCAGTATCAAGTATTTTTTCCATGAATTTCTCCCATAGAGATTTCAAAAAAGTTTACGAGGTTAATAAATCGGACAAAAACACAAAGTTAGAAGAACTACAATCCCATGAAGCATTGCGAACAAGGAACAAGAAATATACAACTACTCATTTAAAAATGTTGATTATGTATACAAACAATTTATTTAAATTTAATTGTAAAATAAGCAAATATTTACACATATTTGAGTATTTTGAGAGTGTAGACTAGAGAAACCAACTCGATTATGTGATTCACAGGGAGTGGGCGGAGCTAAAGAGATCTTTTGGGGAGTTTTGCATGTTTCGACTCTCTGATTGGAGAATTTTTTGAACAGAATCATGGGTAATGTAATTTTTCACCACAAATTCCACTGTTAAACACGATAAAGTTGAAATAACGCAGGCTGACGGCTTCAACAGACGCAAATACCATCGAGTAACAACCTCGTAGCTCAAAGTAAGGCTGACTTTAAAGGGATACTCTACTTTTTTTTTTGGAAATAGGCTCATTTTACAACTCCCTTAGAGTTAAACAGTTGAGTTTTACCGTTTTTGAATCCATTTAGCCGATTTTCTGATATTTAGAAGAATATCAGTAAGCAGACAGTTTCTGGTCTCATTGACTACCATAGTATATATTTTTTCCTACTATGGTAGTCAATGAGACCAGAAAATGTCTGCTTACTGATATTCTTCTAAATATCAGAAAATCGGCTGAATGGATTCAGAAACGGTAAAACTCAACTGTTTAACTCTGGGGGAGTGGTAAAATGAGCCTATTTAAAGTGGAGTATCCCTTTAAGCGTTTGTAAGGTATTGTTAAAAATCTTTTTTCCTATGGAGAAAATGAAAGGAGCCTTCCGGAAGCGACTGTTATGCTCTATTAAATTGTCAATAAGAGTTGGTCCTCGTCGTCTGATTGTCAGGTTTATGTTCTGCTTTGGTTTAGTGTTGTGTTCAGTTCCTGTTTGCCTTGATTGATCAAGTATATTCTCATCTGTTACCATAGCATAGCAATTTGGTCCTGTGTGTATATACTGTGTTCACGCCATGTGGTCATTACCGTAACTTCTTGATGACAATATGTGACGTTCTACACAGAGCCGTTTACGTCCTCGGACTGGGAATTATGTGTTTCTATGGCAAATAGGAGCTCTCAGGAAAATTTCCCATTCACAAGTTGTAATTACGAACTCTATGAGGACATGATATAGGACTATTTACAACATGAAATCTCACAATTACGGTAATTATCAAAATATCCTGTTTAGTCGAATATCTTGTCGGTTCTCTGTGATGTTTATGTGGTTTGCGATCTTCTGCATTTCTACAGATTATTCTTAAGCGATTTCCAGGAAGTTTTGTTTATTTAAATAAAGACTATTTGTGTTTGATATTATTGTGACCACACCTGACACTGATGTGCTAAGTGATGCATGAGAAGATCATTGAGCAGATAAATAGAGATAAACATTTCATATGAGCATGGGTTATATTGTCCAGCGTGCGATTAAACGCTATGAGAATGACTCCTCAAAGATAATAAACATCATCAAATACATTGTTTGGCTTTTCATTTCATTAATCTGCAGACCAGCAAAACACGGTTCACCAATATTAAAATGCATAATTCAGAGTTCATTGTTCTAGATAATTGCATGTTGAAATTGAGTCCCTCCCAATTAATCCAGGGGATCTCAAACTAACGACCCGCAGCATGGGTTCATTCAGCCCGACAGGTGTGAATAGTTTAATCAGGTGTCATTAGTCCAATAAACACACAGCAGGAATGATGGGACACTTACCCGTGCCAATAACTGTGCATTGTTTGAATTGGTGGTTGTATAACATTTGTATTTGTAACTGTTCAATGGTTCAGATTTCATGTTCAAACTGCTTGTTTTTTTGCAGGGTTAAACAAAGAAAATTCTCCCACAATTCTGATTTGACAAATAGACAAAATAATGTGACGTACAAGAGGTTCTGACAATTATTTGCTTAAGTCTATTTTAAAATAATACATTTTTAATTATTTTTTTTTTTTTACATCTGTGTGAATGAATGATTCAATGACTCACTCATTAAGACTTCACTTGTTTCATTACTATATGAATCAGCATTTTTGAACAAATCTCTTGAATGAATGATTTAATAACTCAATCATAAAGACTTCACTTGTTTCATTGCTGGATGAATCAGCGTTTATGAGCGAATCTCTTAAATCAATGATTCAATGACTCACTCATAAAGACTTCACTTGTTTCATTGCTGGATGAATCAGCGTTTCTGAGCGAATCTCTTAAATGAATAATTCAATGACTCACTCATTAAGACTTCACTTGTTTCATTACTGGATGAATCAGTGTTTTTGAGCAAATCTCTTGAATGAATGATTCAAAGACTCACCCATTAAGACTTCACTTGTTTCATTACGGGATGAATCAGCATTTTAAACAAATTTCCTGAGTGAATGATTCAATGGCTCACTCATAAAGACTTCACTTGTTTCATTACTGGATTAATCAGTGTTTTTGAGCGAATCTCTTGAATGAATGATTCAATGACTCACTCATGAAGACTTCACTTGTTTCGTTACTGAATGAATCAGCATTTTAAACAAATCTCCTGAGTAAATGATTCCATGACTCACTCATAAAGACTTCACTTGTTTCATTGCTGGATGAATCAGCGTTTTTGAACAAATCTCTTGAATGAATGATTAAATGACTCATTTATAAAGACTTCACTTGTTACATTACTGGATGAATTCGTTTTTTTTTCCGTTTTTTTTTAAACTAATCTCTTGAATGAATGATTCAACTACTCACTTGATTCTTTATTGGATGAATAAGCATTTTTGAACAAATCTCTTGAATGAATGATTCAATGAGAACTACATTTTTATCGGTCACTTGTTGCCGCCTACTGATGTAATGATGTAATCGATGCAATCATTATTTGAAGTGCCAAATTACTTTCAAAAGGTGATTTACTCTATTTTGATCACTACCGTAGACATCAGTGTTTATAACTAAACAATAAACTTTTATCTCAGTACTTCTGTGATAATCTGAATGATTAAGACGATACTGGGTGTTGAAAAGACTGTTTGTGGAGCTGTTTCATATCTATACATGACAACGTCTCTCTCTGGATCAGAACTCAGATCTGAATGTTCACAGTTTTTCGACTTATCAAAGCTTTAATAGGTGAATCATTGTCATTTAGGAATGAGATTGTGTGGATGTTTGAATCAAGATTACAATTTTTGAATGATTAATCATGCAGCTCTAATATTAATGCTTGTCAGGTATTTGAGTTTGAGATCCCTCGTCTAATTCGCAGTGGAAAAAAATGACAAATATGCGACTGCAGGTCTAGACTTTACTTTTTCCACTCTTTTCCTGTAATTTACATATTGTTGAAAGATTTCCTCACCACTCCTGGAAAGATCTTCTGTAGTCTGTCCACTGCGGCGAGAGCTTTCGCCTTTCCTCCACTCAGACAGTCTTCAAACTCGTACAGCGGCTGTCGCACCGGGTTCGAGTAGGAGATCTTTGCGTTGTCCACAAAAGTGATGTGCCTCACACCCCAGCCCTCAAAAAAACACAGCAGAAAACACTTAGCCAGAACTAAACACTAAACATTAGTGTCATTTGCAGTATTTCAACACAAAACCTGCATTTTATTATCTAAGCAAGCACCTGTAATCCAGTGGAAGCAGATGCTACCGCTCCTGCTGTACTCATGTTCCATTACTGGATGAATCAGTGTTTTTGAACAAATCTCTTAAATGAATGATTCAATGACTCACTCATAAAGACTTCACTTGTTTCATTACTGGATGAATCAGTGTTTTAAACAAATCTCTTAAATGAATGATTCAATGACTCACTCATAAAGACTTCCCTTGTTTTATTACTGGATGATTCAGTATTTTTGAACAAATCTCTTAAATGAAAGATCAATGACTCACTCATAAAGACTTCCCTTGTTTCATTACTGGATATATCAGTGTTTTTGAATAATCTCTTAAATGATTCAATGACTCACTCATAAAGACTTTCCTTGTTTCATTACTGGATGAATCAGTGTTTTAAACAAATCTCTTAAATGAATGATTCAATAACTCACCCATAAAAATTTCACTTGTTTCATTACTGGATGAATCAGTATTTTTAAACGAATCTCTAGAATGAATGATTCAATGACTCACTCTAAGACTCCAACATTAGCGTTGGGCATTGACACAAATTTCACAATACGATTAAATTACGATTCACAAGCTTGTGATTCAATTGAATTCCGATCTTGATTAGATGTCGATACATTTATATATGGTACAGTATGTAAATTTCTCTCTCTCTCAACTAAACTATAGAGGGAACCCTGTCAGTCGCTACATTGCTATAATATTACAGGTTAAATGTTACAACCGACTTGTCTACATTTAAATTAAGGTTCTAGTGCTAAAATATAATAATTTAAAAAGTGGCTAGTTCATTTAAACACCTTTTTTAATGACGTATTCAATTAAATATTAAAGAACATGTTAGAGTTATTTTTCTGGTCACTGAATGGCTTTTCTGAGGTGAATGCAACGTTACATGACATTGTTACTCTCAAGCTTTTATTTTTTTTAGGTCTTTCCGCAGTTGAAACACTTATTAATGGATTACATGAGACATGATTGATTTCTAAATTGTTCTCTATCTTTCATCATGTTCGTTAATGTTTAATTGGTGCTGTAACTAGAGAAAAGAGATGATCAGCCAACTGTCAGCAGACATTTAAGTCCCACAAAAAACACATTTATTGCCTGATAATTTATTGTCATGATAAAATTGGCATACAAGACTGTTTTATATCATAAAAGTAGAGTGAGTTGTGCTATAAATAATGTTTAGTCAAGTTTTGTACATTCATAAACTGAAAACAGCACAGGTGGGATTTAAGAATATGAGAACTAATTAAAATCGATAAACTGATATTTGCATAGTATAAATATTAATTTCAGCACAAACACACAGTTTCACCACAACATTAAAATTAATTTCAGCACAAACACACTTTCTCTCTAAATTAGGCTTCTTATAGAGTCGTAAAAAATAATTCGCTTTGCATTCACAAGGCACATTATAACTGAACCGCTTTTAGAGGGTCCGGTTCCATTTGGAGCATTTACATATAAGAACGCTCTTGGAACGAAGTGTGAGAACTCTCTTAATGTTGCAATCATTTCCATCTTCACACCGCCAACATGTTTATCTCAGCCATCTAGTGACACCACCATTATTTTGAAATGGCAGCATCTGTCTCAATTTTTCTATAATTACAGTCCTAAGCTCAGAACAATTTCAAAAACGATTAAGAAGCAATTATGGTGAAAGCAAGTAAGAACTTAAATGACATAAAGCAAGCCAATACTGAAGGCAAAGAAAGCTTTTCCGTCACCTCTCAGATGAGACGGTCAAACCAAAATGTATTCAGACACCTTCAACATTTCTCACATTATCACAGTTTATTTGCTGTAGTTTAGAAAATGGTTATAAAACATGAGCAGAACTCAGGGTTATCAGATCAGTGGATCTTTCACTGGGTTTGTCCGTCCTTCTGTTAGACTCTCACAAATGAATTATGTTGAATATCTGATAAATCTAACTACACAATTAGATAATACAAGTTTATCTCAACCAGTGACCAAGCAATGCTTCATGTTGTTCAGTCTGTGTGTAAAAAGAGCATTAGCAATTACAGAAAACACACTGAAGAAAACATGATCAGCTCAAAGTGTCCGAATCATTTTTGCTTTAAAAGTTTCACTGGTAGTCACTGTATGAAGAATATTTGGGTATATATGCAACAGTTTACTTTATTTTGCTCTCCTCACTTCCTTAAACTATAGTGTCCTGATCACACTAGTAAAACAATATAAAAAATTGTATCTAGTGTCTGAATTTTTGGTTCGCCTGTAAATTGTTGATAATCTCAAGTAAACGTCTCTCACCATCAGGGTTCGAGCCACATTGCATCCCAGCGTTCCAGCTCCCAGTAACAGACACTTTGTGGACACGACTTTATCCAGATCCAGAGACGGGACGAGCCTCCAGCGCATCAGCTTCAGGTTCAGATCCACAGAAGACTCAGCCAGCCTTGAGGAATCATCAATTGTGTAACATACCACTGAGAAAAACATTTCATAAACTCCCATGCCACGTTTAGTACCTTTTAGGGTCCATGCATTCGCTGAGATTGACACTTCTGGGTCCCATTGCTCCTTTAGGGTTCTTCTCCCAACCCACGCTCTTTGGACACACTGTAGAAACAGACTAATAAACTTACATATAATGCAAAATTAAGTAAATATTTAAAAAAAAATAGTTTTTTTCTGTCATAAGATCTGAGAAAATAAGGTCAAATGCAGAGCCGGACAGTAACAGAGTATATTTACTTGAGAACAGTACTTAACCCCCTGGGGATCAAGGTGTATTTGTGGTCCTTGAGATGTTCTACCATGCCCTGACATTTGTGCTTTTTTCAGCTGCTTATAAACATATTAAAGGCACAGGTGAAATTACACTATATTTAGCACAAACAGGGCTACCATAATATGTGAGCAACATGTATGTAAATGTTTGTATTTTTGAAAGAATATTGTTTATGCGTGGTTATTGAAAAAAAACTAAAGTTTCTGAAATAAGGCCACAAAAAACATACGAAATATGCGTCCACATTACTTTTGACTAATGGATGTTGTTGCCTAGAGTTTTTTCCTCATAGTTCTTTCCTGCCTAATCTTTCACATAAAACTGTGAATTGGGTTATATTGTGAAACATTTTTTGTTTGCCAAGGCAATATGCAAATGGGTGTGAACAGGCCAGCCCCATCATTAATAATTATAGTTGATTCTCACCTGAGAGAGAGAAAGACACGCATAAAAATGAGCCTTTCATTAAGGTGAGTCAGACAAGAAAAAAATTGAAAGGACAACATATATATATACAGTATATATATATACATATATACATATATATATATATATATATATGAAGAGTTCAGATGCAAAAGCCTCTAAGTGCCATTTGAAATTTTCTTCTAAAATGGTCATTTTTATCAAGCTTATATATTCAAGTTCAGTAATTTCACTTAAATGACAATTAATAGGTAATCCTCATTGCAATTTAAGTGAAATTACTGAACTTAAATATACAAGCTTGATAAAAATGATCATTCTAGAAGAAAATTTCAAATGACACTCAGAGGCTTTTGCATCTGAACTCTTCATATATATATATATATATATATATATATATATGTGTGTGTGTGTGTGTGTGTGAAATAAATGAAAGTCAAAAACCCATTTTTTAATCATACCTGGAAACAAATGTTGGTTGAATAGGTTATAAGGGACATTGTGTAAAATTGGTTCAAAGTTAGAGTTGCAAACATCTTGAAAAGTTAGAAACATCTTGAAAAGAAAATGATTTGTCCATATAAAGTATTATTTTTAAAGTAGGCCATGCATTTACATTTTATCATACATATATCAAAGTTAAGGATTCATTATTTTGATATGTGCATTGCATTAGCTTGCATTGGATAACATACTAAACATACTATATATTTAACATATGAGCAGAAACTGTCTAACTAAAGCTTATTTGATGTCTATCTATTTCTATTTCGTCCTTAACAGTAGGCTATGCATCTGTGCGTCCGTTCGTTCACACACCCGATTCATATTTAAACATCAGCTGAATCCGTGTGCTCCTCGAAATGAAACAGGTAACTGAGGTAACTTTTTCAGGATTATTATGACAGTATTATTCCTCCTAGCACAGCAATACGAGGTAACGGTTAGATTTGTGATAAACTGGATGTTTTATCCAGCTGATGTGGGCGTTTTCATGGCTTGCCTCAACATTAGCGTTTGAATAGCGCACACTCTCAGTGGGCGGGGTCCTATAACCGATATATTGGCCAATAAATCTGAATCTAGATTTTTATATAATTTCTGAGAGTCTCACCATTAAAATACATGGCCCAAGTCACAATCATAATAATATTCTCATTATAATTTCATGTAGCCAATATGATAGACTTGTGCTGTACTTTACTGTATTTTCCTTTTTTTTTAAGTGATTCCAATCATATTTCAAGCAATTCAAAACCATCATGTTGAACAGTCGCATCTGAAGCGTCTCAGCTGAAGGAAATGATACATTATTTAATCAGCTTTAATATATTAGCCACATTTTCTTATTGGACCGATATGGTGGCAGATATATCATGCATCCATTTATCTCTCATATATTTTCCTATGTAGTTTGTGAAATAATGGTGGATTACCCAGAATTCAAGCACAGGACTTTTCAGTGCAAGTGAATGTCGGAGTTCAAAAAGTCAAACCTCACTGAGGTGTGAAGACATCCATGCATGCATGTCAGAAAAACCACACGATCAAGGACAGCGTGTTTAAGAAAGATGGTGAAAACAGCATAACCGTTCAGTATTTTGATCAGCCAGCAGGGGCTTTCAATGGCCTTATCAGGTCCCTACATAGCTGACCGCTTCGCCCCAGTTCACACCATCAGTGCAGAGACTCCCACAGGACTTCACAAGTCTGAAGTGTGATGAGGCTGAATGTCAGGGATTCTCCAGCATCGGTTCACCAGCGATGAAAACACTCGGATGAAGAATACGGTCTTTGAGCAGACAAACATGATGTAAAACGTAAAACTGAAACCCTCACATTCCGCACATAAGGAGAACATGAGGAGATGCTCACCCTGATCTACAAGGATTTACTTTGAAACCATTTTCACGCAGAAAATAGGGTTACACTTTGTTTTAAGGTGTCATTGTTACAGTGTAATTATATATTTAAGTACTGAGTAATTAATATTAATGTACTTACTATAGGGTTAGGATTAGGTTGCGTGTAATTATGTATAATTTACTGTTATTACTATGGTAACTAAATGTAACATGAAACATATTGAAGCATATTGAATCAAACGTGAAACTTTGAAAGGACTGAAATAGTATTTTCTTGTAAAACGTATTTAAATAATCTTTGTTTCATTTATTTAGAATTATAAAAATCTTTTTTTACATTAGCAGCAATAGGTAAATAACAAGAATAATAACGAAGTGCAGCGAACTGCACAAACATTTGCACTTATGATTAGAATAATATGAAAACAAAGACCAGTTTGCAATATCAATCAGCATAACGGGCTGCTTTTGTACAGCAAATAAATGGAAATGAATGACACCGAAAGCCAGACACATTCAGCCGCACACAATCCTACATTATAATTCAAATAAAGTGGATAGCATGAAATAACAAATAACATTGTGAATATCGTGCAGTCCATAATTTACATAGATATGAGGCATGTCTGCACAGAAACGAGTGAATATTTGAAGTGCTATTTCAGAGATGATTCTTCCTGCTTCAACTAGTTCGCAGGAGGGTAGTGAATAATATTAAAACAAATTCCAGTTTTTAATATCAAGCAGCATAACGACCTGCTTTAGTACAGCTGAAATATATCAAATTAACTAGTTGAATAATACACAGGTTTTTGAGCTGACACCCCGTTTACTGAATTTAACCGTCATTTTGTTTTCCATGACCATATTTCACTCACTTTTTGACTCTTCACGCAACCAGAAATCATGTAAATTAGAGACTTAATTAGCCAGCCAACATGACATGTTGGTTGCTTAGTAACTAGTTCTGGTGTTTCTTCCGAAGAAAGAAAGTGGAACGGCTGAGCAAATTATGACAGAATTCCATTTATTCTGTCAATCGATTAACTAATCGCACCTAACATTAAAGATGTTGTTATATTGTTATATATGTTATATTGTATTCAGTTCACATTTAATCTGCAAATGAATGTAGAAACAACAAAGACTGTAGCCTATACTTTAAATATTTGTTAAATGGCATTTTTTATAAAATATTATAAAAGCTTGAAAGCTAACATTTTTTAGGCTTTAAAAAAATACAATGAAATTAAAACTATCACATAAATGCACATAGTAAATGTCACTTTTACCAGCCTTTCAATATATCAGGGCTATTTGTTTTACCTGTCCAGTGTTTTACTTGCCCTGTCGAAATGCACAAAATGTCGATTTAACCTTCATCTAACCTTGTACACAGTGCTTTATTCAATTTCTGTATATTTCCTAGCCATTAGACCTACCGGGAAATCTTAAAGTTATCAAACACTTCACAGTATTCACTCCTTAATGGTAAATTAAACATAGATTAATCCTTATTAAAGCTACAAGTTATTCAGTCTAAAGCAGTGAGTGATTTTCTCACTTTTGATTATGATTAATGACAGACAGTAGCAGGTTTATTAGGCTTCAGTCACTTTAAGATCTGACGCACATCCCATTTTCTCACAACTCTTTATATTCATTTAAGATCTCATTTAACTGCGCTTGCGAGGATACTTGGGAAAAAAACGGGCATTTTGGCATTTTTTTGTCCGTTCAAACGCTGTCCGAAGCGGCTTTCCGTGCACACGAGTTTGTGTGTGTGTTTCACAGATGCAGCACAGTACTGCACTGCTTTTTCTTTCGTGTTTTATCGTGCTTGAATGGTTTAAAAGCATTTTCATGAATACGAATCGTGATCATATAATGTAACACTAGCTAAAGGATGATGGGAAAAAAAGTTAAATATTTTTATCACGTTAAATTGAAAACATTAATCGCGTTCAGCCCTAATTTATACTATAATCCAAAGTCTTTACGGTTACTAATTATTTTGATAGTCCACTTTAGACATTCTAGTATCTTTGCAACTACATGTCAATCAACTCTCGTTAGAGAATTAGTAGACTTATTTTCGGGATCGGGTTAGTAGAATAAGTTGAAATAAGTCGCAAAGTTACTTACAGTCTGTTGAAGAGCCTCAAAATAAAGTGCTGACAGATATAAGGCAGACATTCTACTATAATGACTGCTTGTTGACAAGTACCTGCAAAGTTACTTATAGTTAGTAAGAATGTCTAAAGTGTAGGGATGTGCAATTTATCGGACACAATATCGGTATCGACCGATATAATTTCATTTGAAATATTATCGTTATGGCAGATATATTAAAGCTGATAAATAATGTATTATTTCATTCAGCTGAGACTCTTCAGATGCGACTGTTCAACATGATGGTTTTGAATCGCAACACAAATGTGTCATATAAATATATGAGAACATCATTATAATTGTGACTTGGGACATGGATTTTAATGGTGAGACTTGTGTTTGTGTCATCAGGCTCTCAAAAATTATATAAAAACTTGGATTTAGATTTATCGGCCAATATATCGGTTATCTGCTTTCAAAAATAAAGAATTATCGGTATTAGAGCCAGACCGATTTATCGGCCGATATTAGGCATTTTCCAAACTATCGGTATCGGCAGTTATAATGGCCGTTAAATGAATATTTCAAAAATGAAATAAAAACGGACGAAACACGCTTCAATCATGTCATCAATGTTGGAGTTGTATAGTTTGTCCATCAGAGGGCACTCTACACCGTCCCTATTGGCAACACTCGCGTATTACGAGCCACACAGTTTTGCTGCTGTTTAATAAGCCGAGAGTGAAGCGGAATTAGCTAGTAATAGTTACGTTACGTTGTTACAGTGTAGTTGACTGATTGTCCTTTTAACTTTTGACAATGTGAGTGAAGTTAAGTATTTCTTTAATATTGCGCGACAGTTATAGCAATGAGACGTACCATATCTCCTTGGCCTGTTAAATTGAAAATGTTTTACAATTTGCAGTATGACGTTATCCATTGCTAAATTATGGCTCATCATAGACTCGCCAACCACAAAGCTAGCTAATGCCACTATCATCAGTGGAAGACCGCTAACGTTAACATTAATGAGCTTTGGTTCCTATGTTCTGTTGCGACAATGAAAGAAACAGGTTTCTTTTTAAAATGCATTATCATATTATTTTAGTTAAAACTCAAAAATAACTACAAATAACTAATGTTAGGGAAATCTGTTAATGTTTCGTTGCGTGTTTCTGAAATAAATAAAAAAATATCGGCGATATATCGGAATATCGGATTTTAAAACCAAGAAATATTTGTATCGGTATCGGTCTTCAAAATCCTTTATCGGTCGGGCTCTAATCGGTATTAGCCAAAAATGTCATATTGGTGCTTCCCTACTAAAGTGGACAATCAAACTAAAGAGTTAAAACCATATTTACATTAATTTTAATATATATAAAAAAATATAAAAAAAGATAACTAGCATTTTTATAAAGGTGTCGGGAAGAAACAGAGTGAAAAGTCACTTATAATCATATTAGGGCTGTCACTTTTGTGAAAAAATCCTGTTCGTTTTTTGAGACATAAGTGTTCATTGAATTGATTGTAAAATCATTTTTCCAACACCAAATACAGGCAAATCCATGGACACCTAACAGGCATTAGGATGAACGTAAAGATTGCGCTTGAGACGTACACAAGTCAGCAATATTTCTGATGAATTGTTGGTGTGAAGTTTCGGGAACACTGACAAACAAAAGCGCGACATTCAGGAATTGAAATGAACTCCCTCCGACCCGCCGAATGTGGGTAAAAATGAGCGTTGGTGGGAAAACGCCATCAAATTGCGAGCCAACGTAGTGGTAAACATAGAAACAACATAGTGTTTCTATATTTACTCACTTTGCTGGGGAAGTTCGTGTAAACCAAATCTGTGCGGATTTAGCGCAAATACGCAACTCGTGAGTCCTCATGACATATTAAATACAGAGTATTGTGCAAAATCTGCCCATTTCTGGATTACTAGAACACACACGTCACTACGCAACAAGTAACAGTGCACTTGTTCACTGGCATTGAAGTAATAGCGAAAATTAAAAAGCATTTGGTGAACAGAAAAGACATTGTTGTTTTCCAACACGTGCACTGTAATGATCTGTCCACCTAAAACACATTTTATAAAAAACAAAAATAAAATAAAAAAGCAGTTAAAATCGAATTAAAATTAAAATTACCTATTTTCGTTTTAGAAACTTGTGTTGGTTGGTCTGATCGATTGTGCAATAGAAATAGTGCCCTATTTCATATCACCCAAAAACCAGCTTTAAATGTGTAACCTTTGGCTGCCAGCCTGAGGACTGAAGCCTTTGTGCCGCTGTTCAGATAAATCACCTGCAGACGCCGAGAGGTCCGGGAGCCTGACCCGAAAGATGATGCTGTGCCGGACGGAGCGGGTCCCTTGTAGAGTTCGGTCTCTGAAGCACAAAACCTCCACAACATCCAGACGCGAACCCCTGGCATTCACAAGGACATACACACACAGCACTGTGAACACACACCGTCTTTGAGTGACCTTAAACTCACCATTACAAAGAGGCGACAGCTGGAAGAGTGACATTTCAAAACTGGAAAGATAAAAAATGCTGACATATTTCCAAAATCTTCCACCTGCTCTACACTTCATAAAAACATGAATCACACCCCAACTGTGTGCATCTTCTATCTATTATCATTTACCTCAGCTTGTGGAAAAGCTGCTCGGGATGAACTTAACTATGTGGATTTGTCTTTACCACCTGCGTTTTAAAGTTGTCCATCAATAAATTCTAAAGGTAAATTTTAGTAATTTTAGTAACTTGGTATATTAAAGTCAACTTGTGGTGAAAATCCAGCTTTTAATGTTAAAATAACAAAAAATATGAAAATCCATGTGTATATTCACAAGTTGAAGTATTTTCTGCTTAAAACTGCCTCGAGCTAACGAGCTACCTTGTAACCAATAAGATCAACGTGTGATCGACAACCTCTGAGCTGAGTGAGTGGAGGCTTGGCTCATTTGCATATTCATAGAACCATGCATACTAAAAGAGGAAAGGGTGTTGAGTTACATTCAAGATATTTTAAGGCATGAAGAATTTTTTTTAAATATGTCATTGATTAAAGATGAGGGGGTTTTTAGGGATACAATTATTTTAACAATATTTTAACTAATGAAATATGATTATTTTAACTGTCAATTTAAGTTCAACCTGTAAAACTTTAAATGTTGCTTCCATATATTTAGAGCAATGTTGCCTTTTTTTTATCATCAACTTCACATTTCACAGCCATCGTGTTTTTGCAAAGGTGCCTCTTCTATTTGACTATCAAATAAGCAACACCATAGTACTGTACATAGTCGGAGTATACACACATTAAACTTCAATGGATCAGCCCTCGTGATTGAACCGGGCAGTGCAAAACATTCTTACAAACCCACAACATTAGCAGATGGTTGGAAAACACATTTTTCTCACATTCTTTCAGTTTGAGATTGAAAGTAATGTCAGGAGGAAATGAGTGGAACTGTGGAAACAGGGCTATAATTTAACACCAGTGGGAAGCGCGTTGGAAAAGCTCAGTATTACAGACGTACCATGTTTTAGCGATGAGGATGAGGAGGTTTCTGAGAGGCCAGCCCGGATGTTGAGGAAGTGTACATGGGTCATATACACCCACAGTAATCTAGAAAAAAACACAGGTCCCTTATTATACTGACATGCTGAGAAGAATCACATGCCAATCTAATTATTAGACCGGGCAAAAAAAAAAAAATTCAAAATCGATTTTTTCCATATTTATTTATCCATCACTCAAAAGCCAGTGTTACTGTTCCTCCACTGTTCATTGGCTTGCATGTTACAGCCGATGTGGTGGTGAGACTTTATGTTTTTTTAATCTTGAAACATAAAATAACCTGATCGTGTTTGATCAAAGCATGCAACTGTTCTGACTCCTCTAAGTTTCGAGCACTTTCCATCAAAATCTGTCTATTCATTGTATACATTTGAAATATAGAGTTTGGGTTCTGTTTTAATGTAAATGAAAAGAGTTTAATATACAGGTTTGTGGCTCTGTATTTCTTTTTTATTAATTAACCACTAGTAAACTTATGTTCACTGTTCTTTTTAATAAATATAAGATTTGTATATATTTTTTTATATAAATATATGATTTGATTTTGTCTGTGTAACTCTTAATTCATTGAGTCGAATTAAGAATAGAAAACAAAAATCTAATTTAGAATCGAAATCAAATCGAATAGGAATCTGAATCGATACCCAGCCCTATTGTAAGAAATATTCTGGGTCAAATACTTGGGCATCAACACCTCCACAGAACACAACCTTGACTCATTTCATAGATAGTCCAATTATTAAATATGATAATCTACAGCATGCCATAAATGTTGTTGACGGAAATTTAGTTAACCAAGAATATTACATTAATAATGATTAAACTTTATATCCGGGTTGTTAGCAATTAAAACTAACAAAATATTCAAAGAAATTTCTGTTAATTAAAAATTTAAAATAAAATAAATCATTCATTTTAGTTAAAATTTTTATGAAAATTAGAAATGTAAAATGTTGTCTTGGCAATAAACTGAAATAAGTTTAATTTTAAAGCGCTAAATGTATTAACCAAGAATAAATAAAAAAATAACATAAAAACACTAACTAATAAAATAAAAACTAAATGACAAAAGGACAAAAGATTTACTCGAAATTACACTAAAATGAGAAAAAAAAAATCAAATAAAAGCCAATTCAAAATATAATTAAAACTGTAATAAAACTAAAATAAAACTGTTTTATAATAGAGCTGCACAATTCTGGATACATTTAGAATCACAATTATTTTTGTTTCTAATGGAGATCACGATTCTCCCACGATTTTAAACAGACAACTGAATAAAATAGCATTTACATTACAAGAGGTTGACAAAATATGATTTGCTGCAGTCCATTTAATTTAATGAAATGTTTAATTAATTAGAATGAATATTAAAGAAAATTGGTTTGAATGAATGATTCAATGATTGACTCATAAATAGTTCACTTGTTCCATTACTGAATGAATCAGCGTTTTGGAACGAATCTCTTGAATGAATGATTCAATGACTCACTCATAAATACTTCACTTGTTTCATTAGTGGATTAATCTGTTTTGGAGTGAATCTCTTGAATGATTCAATGACAAGTGTTTCTTTTTTTTCTTTTTTTTTTAAGGTTTGATAGACATAGATCCAAATCACTGTCATTTAGGAATGAGATTGTGTGGGAGATTAATCGTGCAGCTCTATTTTATACTGTACATCACCTTCTTTAGGTCTGGGAAGAAAGAGTTCAGGTCTTTCAGAGGAGCGACTTCAACACTTTCATCCGTGTACTTCAGCAGGAAATGTGGGACTGCCGTCGCGCCGCTCGAGGAGCAAAGACTGTCATACGCCGTGGTCAAACTCATTATCTGTGAAACAGATCGATCCCAAACCATCAGTCCACCTCAGCATGAAACACAAGGAAATGGAAGTTTATGCTTGGCTGGACAATATTAGGTCAAGCAAGGACACAAATGAAAGTACTGCACAAATGTACAGTGGCTCAAAAATACAATAGGAACTCAGTGAAATGGAATTACAATGGAATGAAATTCAAGTGATACTGTAACTGAATTTTGAATTGAAGAACGTAATAAAAATAACACACCTTTACTTACTTATACATAATATATTATTATATTATATTCTGCAAAAGTTCGTTTATTTCAGTAATTCAACTTAAAAGGTGAAAATAATAGATTAAATAGACTCCTTACATGTAAGTCATAATCATCACAATTATAACAAATAAAGGCTTGAAATACTGAATTACTGAAATAAATTAACTTTTGCACATTATTCAAAATTTTTCCAGTGTTTGGTGTGTAATGTTGCTGTTTGATCATGAACAAGCTCCTATATCAGAGTCAGTGTTTCTGAACTCCTGAAACGCCTCCATTGTAGTCTTGAGTTTCTTCCGGGAACGAACACGTCACAATATTCCTTATAATAATTCATATGCAGAATAAGGGGGCGGGGCCTGGTTGAGTTAGTTAGCAGTGTGTGGAAACCAGGCGGCAACCTTCAGTTCTCTCTTGATTCCGCCACTGAAGTGACTTAAACTGCAGTTCATCGATTGGCCACTAGAGACCAGCTGCAGAAGAGACTCAATCCCATAGACCCGCATGTTAAAATTCCCAACTTTACAGCAGAAAAAAACATGTTTACAGCCTGGTGCAAAAAGTGGTTTTGGTCTATATCACTAATTTTGCCCTTCATGATGACTGTGAGGGGGGTGAATTTTTTATAACTCATCCGTTTAAATTATATAAAGCCTTAAAGTTCTGCATAATTAAGGGCGTGGCCACTTGAGTGACATGTGGATTGCCGCTGATGTCACCACTAGCCGTTTGTCTGCTGTCTGTTAGCGTCACGCCGCCTCAGCTAATCCGCCTCGCTGCCGGTTTTCGTTTATCCGCGAGTGACACGTGGCTTAGATGGCGACAGCCGGCTCCACCCACTTTGGGCTTCAAAAACGCTCTTCAGAAACACTACGAGTGACGTCACAGACACTACGCACTTTTTCTTTTACATTCTATGATTGAAACTGGCAGTGATGGTAAGGGGCGGGACATTTCCCAAACACTCGAAGCACTTAACCAATCAGAGCACTGGGTGCTTTTCAGAAAGAGGGGCTTCAGAGACAGCAACTCAACAGATCGTTACTGAGAAGAAAGGAACCGCAACAATGGAGAATTTGGGGACGACTATGAAAACGGCCATAATAGATTTAGAAATACTCTAAATACATCAAGTGTCTTGGGGCATATATGATATTATGCATTCAAATAATCAACATTGAATTACAAATTCAAATCAGCACATGCTTTCCATAATGCACTGACTAATGACTCATTATTCTTCACACAAAACCTCCTTGTCAATCAGTAGTGTGTGTTCTCATCGCACCTGTTGTTCGGAGAAGCTCTTCTCTAATGACAGCGGCTCCTGCACCAGCTGGACCCCCTCCAGAAAGCAAAGGGCAGGGAAGCAGAACCAATAATAGAAATGATATTTCTTCAGATCCTGGATCAACAAAAAGACCGGTCAGACAAACAAATAAAAAATGAAAGGAATTTCATTTATAGGGACATTGTTGGCATACAAACCGCAAATGTCAAGAGGATGAATCTGTTTAGGACTGAGGAGTCATCCAACGCAGCGCCCGACTGAATAGCGCTCCAAATCTGTGAAGACGACAACATTATTAGTATTAATTAAGCTGACATTAACAGGAGTAATTTCTAATATAGTTTAAGCATGTCTTGTAGACGCCAATATATAATCATTCTCACTCCGATCTTCTCTCTTACATTTAAATCGTTATGTTATAGTCTAATCTGTGCTGCCAGTTTCATATTGAACTGAAAATATTTAAAATTTTCTCATAATTAACATTAAAAGTCTCTAACTTTGTTTTGCCCCATTGTTTTAGTAAAGTATCTGTCGTGCGAATGAAAGCACGATATGGCCCTCATTAAACTACTAAAATTGTTGGGATTTAATTAAATAAGTATATAGTCTGTTTATTAAGCTTGATTACAGCATTTCACTAGATTTGTAATGAGACGTTTTCACAGAAACGGTAGTTTTCCGCCAAAATAAAAGCTCAAGGGTTCAACTCTTGAGTTGCAAGTGAAGAAATTAGAACAAAAGTACTGCATTTTCTCTACAGTAGCATTACGTCAAATAATATATACTTTTATTTATATACATTTAAAATATATATATATATATATATATATATACAAATTTTCATTGATTTTACACTGCATTTGTTTTTACAATATATGTCTATTACTGTCATAGAAATAATAAAAATACAAAACTGAGTTTTGAATTATTACGTTTTTCTTCTACTCACTGTAGTAAGGTACTGTGTTCTGTTAATTTGTTTGTTTTAATCCAAATGATTTTAATCATTTTATTTTAACATTTATAATTCATTTTAAAATTATCTTCATTTATTAATACCAAATGCTTCATTACATTAGAATAAATCTTTTCACTTTATTGTATTTATTTATATCTTGTAGTCATATCATTTTAATCTAATAATTTATTCTATTTTTTGTTTATTTAAAACATTTTTACACTGTTTTTCCCTGAACATTTCCCCAGTCTGAAAACCTCAGCTTTATGCAAATACACTAGTAAGAAATGTCGTGCATTTACACCGTAAAACACAAATTCACAAAACAATTGTGTAACTTTTGCACAATTTGAGTCATTGATCATTTTTTCCAGCACAAAAACATCTTTATTCGCAAAGCTCAGCGCTAACTGGCCACTGCTATTATTAGCGTATATAAGAACGCGGGTGGCAAACGCAATTTTATTAAGATGACGACAGTAATTCATCAAATAATGAAGAAGGATGTTCCGCAGTTAAAAGAAAGTGAATAATTAGTTTAGCGAGCACCAATAAAACACAGGCACAATTAATTACGAGACGCTCCACCTCGCCGGCTGCTTTATCCAGGAGAGCTTTCTTATCCGTGGATCTGAAGGCTTCCAGAGTGTTGGTGTTGTAAAGCGTCCCCGGAGCCGGACAGCAGCGCGCCGGAGTGGGTCCATCGCTGGAAAACAACCGTCAGACACTGCATTATGTGCTTCTGGGTCAATTACATACAATACATGCAATATTCAGTTATTTTATCAGCATACAGGTGAAACTCGAAAAATGGGAATATTGTTCAAAAGTTCATTTATTTCAGTAATTCAACTTAAAAGGTGAAACTAATATACTATATAGACTTATTACATGCAAAGTGAGATATTTCAAGCCTTTATTTGTTATAATTTTGATAATTATGGCTTAAATCTTATGAAGCCATAATTATCAAAATTATAATATCAGATATATTGTATAATATTATATAATATAATTTAATAATATTAGAAAAATTATAGTCACTTGTGTCTCCAAAGTCTTTTCTGCTCACGAAGGCTGCATTTATTTGATCAAAAATACAGTAATATTCGGAAATATTATTACTAGTCAAAATAATCATTATAATAATTGTAATATATTTTTAAAATATAATTAATTTATACTACATTTTTTTTAGCATTTTCAATTTTTTAGACATTTAACTATATATTCATATAGAAAACAGTTATTTTGTATTGTAATCATATTTCACAATATTACTGTTTTACTGTATTTTTTATTAAAAAAAATAGAGCTGAAGAGACTTCTTTATAGTAATATTCTTTGTAGCTTTTATTATGTAAACTTTTGGACATACATTATATATATTAGTGCTATCAAATATATAATAATATACAGTATATACCCACAATTATGTAAAAATAAACTTTTATGTTAGATGTGATTAATCGGAATTAATCTTTTTGACAGCACTAATATATATATATATATATATATATATATATACTATATATATATATATGAAGCGTTCAGATGCAAAAGCCTCTAAATGCCATTTGAAATTTTCTTCTAGAATGGTCATTTTTATCAAGCTTGAATATTTAAGTTCATTAATTTCACTTAAATTAAAATTAATAGGTAATCTTCATTGCCATTTAAGTGAAATTACTGAACTTAAATATACAAGCTTGATAAAAATGATCATTTTAGAAGAAAATTTCAAATGGCACTTAGAGGCTTTTGCATCTGAACTCTTCATATATATATATATATATATATATATATATATATATATACATACATACATAGATATTTGAGAAAAAGAGGGATTCCGATGGTTATATTAGGTCAGAAGTGATTGACTTTACTCGGCTCTGCCAGACTTCAGCGCTGCCTGTGCAATTATTCACCCTTTATAAATGTTAAATTAAACCTACTGAAACAATGCTTAAAGATTTAATTGGCAAGAAAACATCATTAATTTCACAAGTAATGGACGTGATATTGGAGCCAACTACATTACATGCTTTTAATACGCAAAACTTACGCCTCAAATGCGCTGAACTCCAGAGTCAAGCGTGTCGGCAGGCCATCAGGATCTCCTGCAATACAGAACAAAACATTTGCATTATATCACTCCTTAAAGGTGCATTATTCTCAGTCACTTTTGGCTGTGGAGTGAATAAATGGATCATCTGTGACAGTATTGCTACAATGGCTACATAATGTCGCCGTATAAATCCAAGAGAAAATACCATTTTGGTTGTTTAGGAAGTGGAAGTGAAACACAAAGGTGTTATATTCTATTAACATTCCTGAAGTATTACTATTCAGCATGCTTATTGTGTGCAAAACGTACATTTTAATGCATGCTAGGGATGCACGAATGATCAATTAAAAGATAGCGATGTTGATTCAAACACCCACACGATCTTATTCCAAACAACAGTGATCCGGCTCTGCCTGTAAAGCTTTGATGAGTCGGATATTTAGATCCGAGTTCTGATCCATAGAGAATCGTTGTCATGTATAGATATGAAACAGCTTCACAAACAGTTTAGTATCATTAATTCTGTCTTAATCATTCAGATTATCACAGAAGAACTGAGATAAAAGTTTATTGTTCAGTTATAAACACTGATGTCTACGGTAGTGATCAAAATAGAGTAAATCACCTTTTGAAAGTAATTTGGCACTTCAAATAATGATTACATCATTACACAAGTAGGAGGCGACAAGTGACAGATAAAAATGTAGTTCTCATTGAATCATTCATTCAAGAGATTCGTTAAAAAAACCCTGATTCATCCAATAAAGAATCAAGTGAAGTCATTATGAGTGAGTCATAGAATCATTCATTCAAGAGATTCGTAAAAAAAAAAAAACAAAAAAAAAACGGATTCATCCAATAATGTAACAAGTTAAGTCTTTATGAGTGAGTCACTAATTCATTCATTCAAGAGATTTGTTCAAAAACGCTGATTCATCCAGCAATGAAACTAGTAAAGTACGTTGTTTTGTTTAGTTAAGAAAATTGTGATTCTCAATATATCCAGAACCGTGCAGTTCTAATCCCTGAATGACCTTCTGCATTCATCAAACCCACACTACATCTCCATCTCGCACACAGCTGATGTATTCAGAATGTTGTTTCCGGGTCCAAACACTCATCAGACGCCAAAAACAAACAACAAATGCTGCTAATACACATTCAATGTGTGCTGTAATAAAACCAAAATATATCATGATCCTAACCTTTAACTCCACACCAGAATCTCAGACGGCCAGACAGTGACTCATCTTTTATGAATCATTCAAATACGAGTATTTGAGAGACTGTAGTGTATACTGAGTTTTCATAAGCTTGGACCCAGAAACAAAATTCCTTACATCAGTGAGTCACAGTGAATCAAAATTGACGTCTCGTTATTATATGGAATATCGCAGTTTTTATTAGAAATGATTTATCAGTGCATTTTTGTTTTAAAGTCCCCTTTAGTCAACAATTGAATTCCTTAAAACCATCAAAATTACATATTTAAACGTTTTTTCCTTTAAAAAATATCTTGAATGTAACCCGACACCCTTGCCTCATTAAGTATGTGTGGTTCTATTATATGCAAACGAGCCCTGCCTCCACTCACTCGCTCAGCTCAGAGATCCACTGGTTGACGATAACCTGTTGATCTGATTGGTTAAAAGGTAGTTTGTGACGTCAGAAACACCAGCGATTTCAAACCATGTTTTTGAGACTGTCTTTGGCTCACTGCAGTTTTAAGGAGAAAATACTCAGCAATGCTGTCGACTTATGAATTTACACATGGATTGTCTTAAAGTCGGCATTAAATCAAATTTGACAAATCTTCTTTTCATATGTAATATTGTAGTGTTTATTATAAAGGATTAATCTGTGCACTTCATTTTTTAAATTCATGTACCCTTATAATCTTTAATCAAATACATTACCCTTCCCTCCCCCATCGAAGCGACCTCTCTTCAATTTGGGTCACGTGCAATGGCGAAAGGGTGTGGCCAGATCCGATGAGGGTGCGGCTATCGGTGCAACGCCTCTCAGAGAATCGCAATCAAATCTGCCTCCATTTTGTTTGCAACGCCAAACCTCCAACGATCCAATCAATTCTCGAAGAACGAAATCAAGCCCTGCCCTACATTTTTTTCTAATTTCAGAAGCCGTTTCACACGAATATACGTCACGACAAGGATAAAATGACAATCTCAACTTCCGTTTCACGCCGACTTTAAAGCATATTAAAAACAGGACATAGACACATAAACAACATTAAAAGATTTTTTTTCTTTTTTTTACCACAGGGGCACTTTAAATCTGAAATTCGATTATGAGATTGTTATGTATATACAAAACAGCTATTTCACCATACAAACATTATTTTTTATACAGCAGTTAATTCTGTTTCTCAGCTCTGATTGGCTGAGAGCCTTATCACTAATAACACACGGAAACCGCTTCACAGTGTGTATCACTCCGCTTGTTACTGCCGGATCTACACTGCCACCATTTCTCACAGAAAGCGTCAATGGTGCAGGAGAAAACCCATTTTTTACAAATACTACTGTTATTGTGCCACATAATGGAGTTTTTTAGGCGAGAATGTATTTGTTTAGACCTCATATGCGATTTAAAAATAAACATAGCACCTATTTGAAAGTTAGTTTTAGACGCTTTCGGAGATGCGAGCTCCAGGCTCATATACTTTAGACTGACTCGTCTACAGTGGTAGTCGAATCCGGCCTCCAGAACGCCGTCTCTTGGCTGCATATCAGGCTCATAATTATACGGCTGAGGTCCGTCATACGAGTAAACAGGAACAATTTCCTCAGCGTCCTGATTTCTCATTGCGATCTATTGCTTTCTTATTGTCTAACTTGGCCGCACTCACTCCCTCTACGTCACTTTCGGTTTGATAGTATAATATAGTTCCTACATTATTTTTCAATACATTGACTCACTGGGGGCTCTAACCTGCAATACGGCCCTTAAAGCACGTTGAAAACACCACATAGACATATAAACAACATTAAAATCTGGATTTTCACCACAGGGGGACTTTAAATTTTCCCTCGTAATCTTGAATAAGTTCCTCTAGCAGTATATTTTCTCTTTTCTGATGATGAGGGTAACCTGTCACTCACATGAGATCAGCCACCAGCAAAACACAACCATCCAATCAATTCCACACTGACACAATCAAGCCCCGCCCACATGTATTCTTGTTCTGGAAGCGTTTCACTCGGATATACGACACAATAGAGGAGAAAAGACTAGCGAAACCTCTCAGACTCACCGTTATAGTAATAGCCTTTGATGTTTTTGGCACTTTCGTCTAAGTGGTAGTCGTTGAGTTTCTTCTGAGTGAGTTGATGCCAGAATCCAGCCTCCAAGGCACTGAAGAACGGGGAAAACTGCAGTTTCGGGGCGGCCGTCGGTTCAGCTGCCATCAGGACTGATGTTTGATACTTCACACACTGCCATAAGAGACAGGACACAGGACAATTAGACAGAATAATGGCCATACAAATATTCTGCCCTGATTTAATATATATTTACATATTATAATATGACTTCAGTTTCAGGGAAAAAAACATTTTAATATGTAATTTTGGTGATCAAAGATGAGTTTTAAGGGATAAAATGATAAAGGGGGACTTTAAGAACAAGATTCTAATAGTGATACCATGACAAGAATATATATTGGATACATCAAAATAAAATTTTATAAAATTCAATAAAAAAAGGAAAATATACTCGTAAAATAAAATACTCAATTCTCTTAGCCTGATATTATTTTCTTATATTAAAAACATTTACATTCCTGTTAGATTCGATATGTGGAAGTAAAGTTAGTTCCTTTTTTCTCACTGCAAAAGCTTGTCTGTATATATTAAGAAGAAATTTAACGTTGTACTAACAACACGTATATACAACTTGTCAACATAAAACAAGTAAAAGCAGCGTTCTTATTGTAATGTTAGTAAATATACTGTTTGCTTCGTTAAAAGCATTGTCCCTTTTGGTCTCTGTGTGTGTGTTTGTTTGTTTGTTTGTTTGTTTGTTTATTTTAACACACTACAGTAAAATGCACGATGTTTTACATATATGATCTGTGACATATATTGTCATGTATGTATAGTCATGATAAACACAGAGTAAAAGCAGCAAACATAGCATGGAAACATCACTTACCAGTCAATCACTTCCTGGTTGACGTCATGTGACCACGGTCATTCTAGACGCATGCGCAGTTTGTTTGTTTTGGTATCGCAAAAGAGCTTACAAATGACTTAAAATATATTTAATAATACGCAAATCGACAGCATTAAATACGTGGTGGGGTTTTCGCGGGTGTAACGACCTTGGAATGCTTTATCTTTAACATTTTGACATTTTTAAAACAATGCTTAGTGTTAACCGAAGATCATTGTTAGCAGGACACGCTTTTCTGATAAATGTTTAAAGCGTCATATTATCCCGCATTTATAAACAATGAGAAAATGTAGGAGAATAACGTTACCAGCAGCTTAAACGCTTTAGATGACCGACAAACCTCTTAAGGAGAGTGTCCAGAAAGAGTGTTATGGTGCCAAAACCATCGAATAAAAGACAAAACCCCAAAACAGAAGGAAAACACAGACAAATAGACAAGAAAACACGGACAGAAACTTATAAACGCTGTTCCTTTTCATTGTTAACTCTATGAAAGATGATCGGCTGGTTTGTCATGTGCACAGCAGACGATCAGTGAACGAGCCAGAAAAACCAGCCTGATGCCCTTAGCTGTAGCATACTGATACAGCTCTCTTCAGGTGTAGTTTATAAAAGCTCGTTTCCTTCACCAAATAAACACATGCAAAGGTTGATTTCTGCCCTTCCAAACTCTGAGTTTTCATAGCAATTTTGATAAAGTTAGAAGCTTTTCAAACTCATGTAGGCTAACTGCCCTAATATTAAACTGTACCACCTTATATCCCAGTATTTTAATTTTATGTATAAAAAATTAATGTTCATTTTATATTTTAGTAGTTGTTGTTATTCATTGTTTTACATATTCTGAACTGTAGCACAATGCCTTGTACTTTTTGCATTTGTCTGTGGGCTAATTAAACTAATCAAACATTAAACATATAACATCATCTCTCAATTCAGATTTGTTTTTGTTTTTTTCATATTGTGCAATTTTGTCTTTTTTTTCTGGGTTCTGAGTTTACTTCTTGCAATTCAGGTTTTTCTCCCCTCTCAGAAATGTGAGTAGGCTATATATAATGCAATTTTTACTTTTTTTCTGAATTTTTATTTTACGTCTTGCAATTTTTACATATTGAGTTTATATTTTTAATCTCATAAAAAGTCAACATGGTACCTTTTTTAATATTCCGTGGATGCAAGCTTCCATAAGTTTCAGTTTCAGTGAAGATGAGCGGTGTCCAGCCTCCTCAGAGTCCTGTACTGTTTCCCGGATCAAGTTCTTTTCATCAGGCTGTGGTTATTAACTAGGCAAATCTAAATGATGAATCCAGAAATTAAAATCATTTTTAGAGTAATGCGTTTGCAATGGAAGACTATCATCCAGGAATGTGGGATCACAAATACATGATACCAATATGAAAGTTTATAATTCTTAAACATTGTGCATGTTCACATTTAAAGAAATTTATCAACTGGAAATATTTCACAATATTTAAACAAAGCAGTCTTTTCCACAAGATATAAAGTATGTTAAAAGAGCTGTATGGAAGAAATTTATTTCAAAGATTCTTAAAATGGCCCTGATATGTCACTAGACATTAAGAAATCATGTTCATTTCGAATACTTATATCACTGACAACAGTAGTCCAGCCAGGATATTGTCATTTAAAAAGTGAAGTTGCAGCCCTCAATTGATGTTGATGTTGTGTTTTGGTCTGATGCTCAGCCCTCCACCGATCTACCATTTACGGAGTCAGTAGTGTTGCAGCATCCGATCTAGTTCTGAGTTATCACAGCTGCAGCTACAAATGTGTTGGATAAAAAGAAATGTTGGATCCTGCCGCCTATCTGGCAACCTCGAGTCAAGGCCAATTTACACTTCTGCGTAGGGTGCGCGCAGTAGGTATGCGTCCCATACCGCGTACCCTTCGCCGTAGACTGACGCGCACCTCCTCAAAAATGTAACTACACGTCGCGACGACGTGGACCGCAAGATCGGTGATTGGTTGGCTTGGTAGCATCGCATTTCCTCCAACGCATTTCCGCACGTACCATCTCCTCCGAAGTCTTCTCTCATTGCCTTTCAGTTTTAGTAATTTCACTAAAATGAACTGTTTTTCCACCTCAATAAGCTCCAACTCCAACATGATCTGTTCTCTTTCAATCTTTATTGCTTGTAGTAACCTAGCCGCGAGGAATCTAAACACAGTGGAACATTAAAACCCTCCGCCGCCAACTAGCATTTCGGAGCAGTACTGCAGAGCAACCAAGACCTGAACGCAGAAATATAAATGCTCACAACGGCATCACCTACGTGCGTAGCCAACGCCGTACTCAACGGCGTACCCTCAACGTAGAAGTATAAATTGGCCTTCAGGGGGGAGAGGGAGGGGATACACCGCTCTTCAGTAATTTGAAAGTGGTTGCAGTACCAGTTTTGGCCACAATCTTACATATGGCTCCTTTAAAGGGTTAGTTCACCCAAAAATGAAAATTAAGTCATTAATTACTCACCCCCATGCTGTACCAACCCTGTAAGACCTTCGTTCATCTTCAGAACACAAATGAAGATAGTTTTGATTAAATTTGAGAGGTGAATCACTAAGGGATCGAAACTTGACGGCCCAGAAAGTCATTGGACAAAATGTTTAAATATTCCATACGACTACAGTGGCTCAATTATAAGTTTATCAAGCGACGAGAATACTTTTTGTGCGGAAATAAAACTAAAATAATGACTTTATTCGACTGTTCCTTTTCTTCATTCTGGGCCTGAGACGAGTTCAAGAGATTTCCATGACGCATGCGCGAGAACTGAACTTAAGTTTAGTTGAAGAAGATCGCAATTCTCGCGTGTAAATCTCTTGAACTCTCGTCTCAGGCCTACAAGGAAGAAATGGAGTAGTCGAATAAAGTCATTATTTTTGTTTATTTTTTCACACAAAAAGTATTCTTGACGCTTGATAAACTTGTAGTTGAGCCACTGTAGTCACATGGAATATTTAAAAATTTTCTTCAATGACTTTCTGGGCCGTCAAGTTTCGATCCCTTAGGCAGCCTATGTAGCAGTGATCCACCTCTCAAATTTCATCAAAAATATCTTCATCAATATCGTTCCGAAGACGAACGAAGGTCTTATGGGGTTGGTACAGCATTGGGGTGAATTACTTAATTTTCATTTTTGGGTGAACTAGCCCTTTAATAATGAATAAACACAACCAGTAAAGTCACACTTAAAAGACAATAACCTTGCAGAATAAATAATACTTTTTAATGAATCATTTATAATAATTCATTATACTATAGGTACACAATATAATAATAATAGAAATGTTTGTTTTTAAATGTTTAGGCCTCTGATATCTGTACATCACTGAACAACACTATTTTAATGATTTTAATAAGTTGAATGACTGTCTGGCCATCTCAGATTTCAGCATGAATTTTAAAGGTTGTCCACCTTATATTGTTCAACATGGAAGTATGTTTTCTGTGAATGATTCAGATTCAGATTCATTAACCGCTATAGGGAAATAACTGAAATATATATATATAATTAGTAAGATGATCATGATTTTTCGGTTTGAGTATATTTTAGCTCCGTTTGTCCTCTGCGTTTAGATGCAGAAACAGTGACGTGATGTCAGACTTAATACGTTTACGAGGTTCAGTTGATAGGAATTAAATTGCATTACATATCTAATGGACCTCATTTCCCATTTAAACTCCTACAGACCTCACTGCAAAGACAGTGCTGAATGCAGCATGCATTTCTCCCAATAAAGATATTGAAATTAGAAGGCATGTTCCTTCTCAGTTTATTTAAAGAAAAGATTTTCATTGAAAGACTGGCATTTTTGTTCACCAATCATGAGGTTTAACAGAAAGTGAAAGGATCTAATTGAGGGCTGGCAATGCGAACTGTTAGGAAAAAAAATGAAATGAAAGAGACTAGGCTGCACTTATTATATGCACGTATTATATAGGATAATTGCTTTCCCATAATTTGAAGCCTTTTTCATCATCAGCTCTGTCTGTCTTATAATGTTTATTGCATCTTTTGTATGCGATAGAGTCAGTTTCACATGACCGTCTTACATTGTTCATCATCCAGAGGCATACATGTCTAAAAAAAAAAGGTATTAAAAAGGTTTAATGTCTTCACATTTTGCAGTTTAATCAAATAATGACTGCAGATTTGTTTAAATCATCACTCTGTCCATCATTTAAGTACTTTTTTTTTATTAAAACAAAGATGAGTTGAAATGCATTGCACTGTACACAGGAGTTCAACGAATACAGGCAATTTGTGAATAGTATACATAGACCATCCTTTAGGTCGCACGCCATTCCCAACATACTTCATTATAGAATTTCACCTGTATGTATTTCTCTTGGAGGATAGTGTGCATTTGCGCCTGACCAAACTACATTTAATTAAACTCCCTGTTAAATATGAATGCACTGCACATGCTACTTAAACATAATAAATGTCAGGACATTTCCAGACAATATTCTACATTAAAAATGTCCTATTATGTCCGTTCACAAAGTCTTATTTTAGTTTTAGGCTAGAACAGGTTTTCCTGCTTGAATATTGATTATTTTCCTCATATTCTCTATTGTTGCAGCTCTTCTCTTCCCAGTCTGTCAGTAACGCTCTGTTTACTTCCTGTCTCTATGAAGCCCCCCCTTCTGAAGAGCACACTGTGCTCTGATTGGTCGGCTGGAGCAGTGTGTTGTGATTGGTCGAGCGCTTCGAGTGTGTATGGAAAATAACCACCAGTTTAACACACTACTAACTACCTCAACCAGGCCCCGCCCCTTTATTATGCATATGAATTATTATAATGAGGAACATTGTGGCGTGTTCATTCCCGGAAGAAACTCAAGACTTCAATGGAGGCGTTTCAGGTTTTCAGAAACACAAACAATTACTACGTTTACATGCAGCCAATTTTTGGGTTATGGTCGGGTTAAGGTCAATATTCCGGTTTCTGGAACGTTAGGAATAACCCGTTTACATGCGTGAGCAGAGAGAGTTTCTCCTGCATACATGGAATTGCAATATCCCGATGTAAACGGTGATGCGCTGTTAGCGTCTAGACGTACGGACAACCTTAAGACGCAGTATGCGTCATTTCCGATTCTGAATTGTTCGAGGCAAATAGAAATCGCCTTTGTTTGAGCTTTGATGCTGTTAACGTTACTGACCTCACTCCAAAAGTATGCTGTGCTGCGTCTCGCCATGTTTACTTCCGGTATACCGCACGCGTTTTTTTTTATGCGCCGAGAAGTTTACTCAAAAGATCAAGATTCCTTGCGAATAAAACATGTGCAGAACACAAATCACTATGGGGATATGCTGATACGCAATTAGAAGACCAAAAATTCGGGTTAGAAAAGTGGTGTGATTTTTACCCCCATCTAGTGGTTAAAAGGTATATGACCATCCAGGGAATATTAGTTTCTGTTCCTCTCAATTCCGATTTCGTTTTAACTCCTACGGTGGCCATGTAGTCCAAGATTAACATGGCTTCCAGTTAGACCTCGTCCATGAGTGTTAACTCAAACGTAAACGCGAAATGCGAAGCTTGAATTAACGGGTATGTCCCTCTTTGGCTAATGTACTTTCAAGATGGAGGGGCAACATGGCGACCGACATTAGAACCCCTTACCCGTATATATATTTTCAATGGCATATTATACACTCACAAGAATACTTTATTACTTGAACGAAGTAAATATACATTAATGAGCACATATATTTTTGAAAGAACTAAGTGTTTTTAGCTAAGAATAAACTAAAAGAGTTACACAGTGTAGCTTTAAAATCCGGGATATTGCTAATATCCCGGTTTTGAACGGGCTATTGGCTACATGTTAACGTAGTCATAGATGTAGAGAAGAACTCCCGCTGGAAATGGTTGTGTTAATGAGCAACATAGATGCTTCAATACAACCGGTTTTAAAACACTGTATGGAATAAGTTTTTAATGTAATCTGATGCAGATTGCAGACGTGTCAAGCTGACACTCAGCAATAAATAACAAAATGGGAACACCTCACAATAAAGTTCATTAGTTAATATTAGTTAAAGTTAGCACGAACTAAAAATGAACTGCAGCATTCATTAATCTTTCTTAATCTTAATTTCAACATTAACTAATACTTTTCAAATTTTCAAAAGTTAATGCACCTTGAACTGACATGAACAAACAATTAACAGCTAACATTAACAAAGATTAACAAATACAGTAACAAATCTATTGCTCATGGTTAGCTCATGTTAGTTAATTCATTAAAAAATGAACCCTGTTGTAAAGTGTTACCAAGATCACAAGCATGACGGAGCAACTGATGTACAAACATGTCAAAAATGGATCAGATCTCCTTATCTATCAATATAAAAAATCTTTTTGAACACCCTTTTGAAGTTTTCATTGCACAGTGGGTATATGAAGGGATTGAGAGTGGAGTTGATGTACCCAAGCCAAATGGTGAACATATGAAGGTCGTGATGCACACAGGTCTCACACAAGGCCATGACCATGAATGTGATGAAGTACGGGATCCAACACACCATAAACACACCGATGATGAAGCCCAGTTGCCGGGCGGCTTTCCGCTCCTTGCGGATCCGCATGCTGTGGATGCTTTGCTTGGACTGTTCGCAGAGCTTCTGCCATGTTTGTTTCGCGGGAAGTGAATCGTTGGTGTTTAGCGGCGGGTTGTTCTCGGCCCACGGGGACGGTGGTGATGGAGGCGTGCTATGAGTATAGTTATGAATATCCACCGTCTGCTCGCCCTCACTAATGTTCCCGACGGAGTTCGGCACTAGCACATTACAGTCGTTCACATTTATGAAGGTCTCTGTGTTGTTTTCCGGTCGTAGAAAGACGAGAGATACCGATGGCGGGCATTCGGCGACCGTTTCCCCATCATCGATTGAAATTTCAGGGTCTTGCATGCTCTTTCTCATGCGTTTTGAAAGTCTGAACATTTGTTTCTTCTTATAGCAACTCTTCCTCTTCGTCTCGGACAGGGAATCAGGGTTGTCGTCATTATTGTCTCTTGGCTGTTCAAGACTGTATTGATCCAGAAGACCCTCGTTTTGAGAATACGCTTGATTCTCTCTCTCCGAGGCTTTGGTTATCTTTAACTGAAGTCCGTTCGCCAGTGTATCATCCGCTTCGGGTTTCACCATGGGACCGGCGAAGGTCTCCCATTCCCTGTAATGATCCCGAACCGCAATGAAAATCTGCGAGTAGAACAGAAGCATTAGAAACGAAGGGATGTAGAAGTTAAGAATGGCGGTCAGAACTTTAAACCACGTCACTAAGCGAAAGTCCGTGTCGCATTGGCTCTCCAGTTCAGGTTTCCGATCGACCCGAGCAAACATCCTCCAGCCGAGGATGGGAACGATCCAAGTCATTGAGAGAAGCCATGCACTACAAATCAACAGCGTTGCTCTCCCCCGTGTCCGATACTTCAGATACTGTAATGGGTGTCGTACGGATCGGTACCTGTCCAAGCAAAGGATGAACAAACTGAAAATGGACGCCGTGCTCGCAACATAATCCATGACTAACCAGAACTGGCAAATAACGTGACCAAGCTTCCACTCGTCCTCAAGAAGGTACACCAGATTCAAAGGCATTACCGTCGCCCCAACTATAAGGTCTGCTATCGACAGACTGACGATGTAGAGATTCCCAACTGTGTGTAAAGTCCGTTCCTTTCTCACGGCGAACAGGACCAGCAGGTTCATGATGACCGTCAGGAGGGACAGTGTCCCGAGGAAGATCCCCAGCACCGCACTGTTCATGTGATGGTGGAACGGGACAGACGTGTTTGTGAGAGTCGTGACGTTGGGCTCGGAAGGTTCGTGAAGGATTCGCTTGACTTGGCTGTTCGTGGCAGTCAGTATCGTAGTGGCCTCCATTGGGCAGTCCGATGTGTCACATGACGTCAAAGTTGCGAGAAAGCACATAGTCCCTTTGGGTTTTAAAATTCATATCCAAATGGGAGTTTCTAGAAAACAAAACCAAAGAGAATGCATTAAACTAGTGCACTCAATTATTGTGCACACAATCTTAAAGGGTTAGTTCACCCAAAAATAAAAATTAAGCCATTAATTACTCACCCCCATGGTGTACCAACCCCGTAAGACCTTCGTTCATCTTCGGAACACAAATTAAGATATTTTTGATTAAATCTGAGAGCTGGATCACGCCTCCATAGACTTCCTAAGGGACTAGCACTTGACGGCCCATAAAGTCATTAAAGAAAATGTTTAAATATTCCATGTGCCTACAGCGGCTCAATTATAAGTGTATCAAGCGACGAGAATACTTTTTATGTGAAAAAAAAACATAAATAACGACTTTATTCGACTATTCCATTACTTCCTTATGGGCCTTGAGACGAGAATTGAAGAGATTTCCAGAACGCATGCACGAGAACTGAGATGAGGACGTACTTCTCAGGGGTTCTTCTTCGACTACTTCTTGTTACCGGCTGCTCACCTCCAGTATTACCGCCCCCTACCGTATAAGATGATGTGCTGATATAGCTGGAAGCGCAAAACTTTCTGTTTACAAGCAGAGGAAGACGTGCGCTGTACATATGCGTTTTAATTACCGTATTTTCCGCACTATAAGGCGCACTTAAAAGTCTTTAATCTTCTCAAATACGACAGTGCTGTGAGCCTTACAATCCGGAGCGCCTTATATATGGATCATCATCTTATACGGTAGGTGGCGGTAAAACTCCTAAGCGGTGAGGAGCCGGTAACAAGAAGTAGTCGAAGAAGAACGTCCTCGTCTCAGTTCTTGCGCATGCGTTCTGGAAATCCCTTCAATTCTCGTCTCAAGGCCCATAAGGAAGTAATGGAATAGTCGAATAAAGTCGTTATTTATGTTTTTTTCGCACAAAGAAGTTTTCTCGTCGCTTGATAAACTTATAATTGAGCCGCTGTAGGCACATGGAATATTTAAACATTTTCTTTAATGACTTTATGGGCTATATGGGACTTCAAGTGCTAGTCCCTTAGGAAGTCTATGGAGGAGTGATCCAGCTCTCAAATTTAATCAAAAATATCTTCATTTGTGTTCCGAAGATGAACGAAGGTCTTACGGAGTTGGTACAGCATGGGGGTGAGTAATTAATGACTTAATTTTCATTTTTGGGTGAACTAACCCTTTAATTATAAAGGTTCCCGAAAGAGGGTTTCATAGTGATTTCACATTTTTGGTTCCTCAAATAGACATACATCAGGCCTGTTTACACCTGGTCACTTCATGTAATTTTCTCAGATCGGATAGCTATCCAATCATGAAATGGCCTTTATACACCTCATCCTCTCCTTCTACTTTCACACCTCATTGACTACCAGCTTCCTCTTTTGAGCTGGGCCTGCCTTGTTCCAAACTGAGCCCAAATACCCCCTCTTCCATGCTGTATATGTCCCATGATACCAACAATTTGAAGGGCAGCCTTTGCCTCTACCACAGATTTTTTTTCTGACCACTTTTATTAAAATATATTTTTTCAGAACATGTTGGACTCTAAAACTGCAAGAAAATCGAAGCCAAAAATCTGAACAAGTTTTAGGTTGATATCTCAAAAAATGATCTTTCAGTGAGATTGTGTTTGTGCGCAGTACCGAACGCTTCCACTAGGGCACAACCAAACTCCATTACTGCCCATATAAGGGCGCCTCCATTTCCACAAAAATTATTTCCACAAATTTCATACAATTCATGAAGTCAGCGTCCTTTTCAGAAGTAGTATTGGAAGTTGTAGATTTTGATATGAATTCAACCTTTAAGAAACATAAAAAGAACACGTATGCATCACAAATGGTGAATCTGTTTTTTTTTTCTTTATATTTAAAACATTTTCAGACCTTTTAAAAAAATATGGAAGATGTCTTCTGAACTCTTGCATGAAAACAAACGGAGGTTTCTTCCATTTTTTCATGATTTTTCATGTTCATCACTATGTCAAAATAAAGGTCTGAACACGCTTTAGGAGTATGAACATATTCGTAAATCAATAAATTACGGCTCCTCTGTCACCAAATATGAAAACCAGAGATTGTAAGATTTTAAATTATATATAGTTTGTCAAGATTAGTTTAGGTTAGGATAGTGCTGTTTTAAATGGCTGTGGGCCCGCTGGTGACACTTAAGGACTGTACTGTGCAATTATTGATGCATGATTACACTGAGGGAAATGAAAATGGTTTTATTCAAATCAAAAAGGTTAAATGGCTTTTTCAGCTAATTATTGCAGATTATATCCATTTTAAGGTGCAATGAATGGAGACATCCATATTTTTGATGGTGTCAGTGAGTTACACAACCCGCATATCTGAAATTTCAAGCAAGATCATTAGGCAGCAGCTGAGACCATGAAAGTTCCGAAATATGTGAGTCGAACTGTGTCTTGTTGCTAAGAGAGATGGATTCGATCCATGCTTCTGAAGCCCTAGATCTTATCCAAACCCTTCCCTGTGTCTTTTCTAGCCTCTCATCTCAGGTTAGGTCTGGTCTCTCTAAAAGTTTCGGCAATATCTACCCAATAAATTTGTTGATGTTGTCAGCCAGGGCTATTCTTAACAAATTAATTTTCCAGAACTAAGAACATAAATTGCATGTTTGCACACATATAATAGCCTACTTTCCATCTTTACTTTCGTGTATCAGTTGCAATTTGTAATATGACAAATTTTGATGAGAGAAACCAGTATAGGCTACATAATGTGATTTAGATGCCTTTCTTATGCATACATGTTTTCCATTTAATTCCAAAACTAATTTTCTTTCGTCCTCAAGGAGAAATCCAAGCTGTCCTGAATTAGTGTGAATGATCAATGATCTACTGTCTGTTCCATGACTACCATGAAAAAACTAAAATATAACTGTTTTATGGAAAGCGCAGCATTTGTGTTTGATTGAAATCATGATTTAGTTTAGTTTTTGGCTGATCTGTACCTGCACTGTACCAGTGTTCACTTTAATCTGAATTTAATGTTTTTAAAATTAAAACACTTATGCTAATTACTCTTTAATGTTTGCACAACAATTTAACATTCATACAACCATTAAGTACTGTTGATGCATGAGTGCATGAGGAAAAGCCTTTTTAAACCTGAACACATCATGATACAAAACAGGTCAAGCTTTATCTAAAGAACTGCCATTAGGAATGATTCATCACCATTAATATTAATCTTACCATTGCACACAGTGGGCTGTAGCAACATGAATATCAAGCACTTTAGTCTGCTTTAGCTATAAACACACAAGGACTGGCCAAGAACACACACATATATAAAATATTTACTCTTTTCTGTAAACTTGAGAGCTTAAAGATTTACAGCGTTGCACTCGATTTTTGAAGATCACCCAAACACACTTGTAATGATTCCTCGACGCGTAATGTAAAGGGAATCCGCGCTAATGATACACTTTATCTAAAACTTACACGCGTTTACTAAAGAGTTGTGCGCAAAATATGTATCTCTCTCCTTTTACTGACAAACCGTTATTTCTTTCTCATTGGATGGAGATCTCAGTAACGAAAACGACTTCACTTCGACACCTGTGGAATGCGCGAATCTGTGCGCGTGAACTCCAATAAAAAGCGCGCGCTGCGCATACACTATTCACGAGAGCAAGCAGCCTACTAGTTATTTGTACACATTAATTTAGCACTAAATGTAATTAGGTTGTATTTATAAGCAAGGTGGAAACTTACCCTTCCGACTTGCAGAGAAATCTCGACAGGAATGGGGTTTATCTCCACAGATTTGGTGAACTGGACGCTGACTGACGCTTTACTGCTCTGAGTCTCATGAATGTCTCAGATGGACACACACACACACACACACACACACACGCACACTGAGTCACTGTGTGTGTGTCTGGTTCACTATCTTTGTGGGGACTCTCCATAGACATAATGGAGAGATATATGGTGTTTATACTGCACAAACAGTATATTCTCTCCCCCTATACACTAACCCATACCCCTAAAGCTACACATCACACACAACTCGCATTTGTCACTATGTATGATTTATCAGCATAATGACTTATACAGTATATAACCATTTATTTGTGATATAACAAAGACTCATATTTGTATGCATTTACATTTCATCCTGTCACAATCAATAATAAAGAAACTGACTTAATCTTGTATGTAAACTCAAATGTAACACAGAATGAAATATATATATACTGTATATTAACACAGACACAGGTTTGGGATTGCATGAGGGTGATTAAATGATGAGTGAACTTTTCACCACTGAACTATCCATTACTTCAGCATTATTTTCATAGAAACGCACATCTAATTCACATTTATAATGGTAAATAATAACCAATATAATCACTTAACTGTAAAACAATTATACACTCACCTAAAGGATTATTAGGAACACCATACTAATACTGTGTTTGTGTTTCACCTTCAGAACTGCCTTTATTCTACATGGCATTGATTCAACAAGGTGCTGAAAGCATTCTTTAGAAATGTTGGCCCAAGTTGATTGGATAGCATCTTGCAGTTGATGGAGATTTGTGGGATGCACATCCAGGACACGAAGCTCCCATTCCACCACATCCCAAAGATGCTCTATTGGGTTGAGATCTGATGACAGTGGGGGCCATTTTAGTACAGTGAACTCATTGTCATGTTCAAGAAACCAGTTTGAAATGATACGTGCTTTGTGACATGGCTTTGTTTACATGATGGATACTTGGTACAGGTGGTATATGTGTACATTGTTTAGATGGAGCATTGTGGTGGCCATAAAGGAATGGATATGGTCAGAAACAATGCTCAGATAGGTTGTGGCATATAAACAATGCCCAATTGGCACTAAGGGGCCTAAAGTATGCCCAGAAAACATCCCCCACACCATTACTCCACCACCACCAGCCTGCACAGTGGTAACAAGGCATGATGGATCCATGTTCTCATTCTGTTTATGCCAAATTCTGACTCTACCATCTGAATGTCTCAACAGAAATCGAGACTCATCAGACCAGGCAACACTTTTCCAGTCTTCAACTGTTCAATTTTGGTGAGCTCTTGGAAATTGTTGCCTCTTTTTCTCTTCTCTATTCGATAATAAAACTTCTCTATTTCCAGCTCCAACTGGCCCATTCATTTTTCTCTCGAGCTTAGCTTGTATTACATAGCATCAGGTCTAATTAACTGGATGTGTCTCTGAAACTGAAAAGTCTAATCTGTCACTGTCAAGCATACTTGCGCCTTGATTGTACAACCTTTCATTGAAGAGCCGGAGACAGGACACCCTTATTACCTCTTAGACCCCATTACCCGTCTGTCAATAAAACAAATCATACTCTAATTTGTTTGTGTATAAGAGCATATAGCCTACAAGAACCCTAATGATGAACTGTCATGCCTATTCACAGCTAAAAGAGAGTAGGCTACATCACAATATAAAGTCAACATGAAGTAAAGTGTACCCAGGTGACTTTCTTAATACACATTGGTGGTCTTATTTTGCATGATTCCAAATGCATGGGGATGGGATGGGTTTACAATCCCTCATCTTATATTTTATAATAAATTGGAAATCATTGTTTGGGAGGATGAGAAGATGTGAAGAGTCCTTCTGGATATACTGCAAAGTGTGTCAAAGATAATGTATTTAAATAGCCTAATTTGGATAAAGAACCTCTAGTTTCTGTATCCTAAATTAGTTCGAGGTTGGATCATCCAACTTTGTCTTCAGTAAACTCTATCAATTGACAGAATTCCAACTCTGTCTCCTGATCTTCATTGAACATATCGGTCTCTTTATGTTGTTATACTGTAATTTCCCTATACATGAAAAGTCTGGTAATGTTTTAATCATTTGAAAAATCAGTCTGGTAATCGTTTGTTCCTTTAATCTGAGTGGCTCTGACTAGAATCGAGGAAGAATGACATCACGTATTTGAATAAATAAAAATATTTTCACAACAGTTTGAGTCCTTCAATCTGATTGGTCAGAGCAGTGTTTTAAGTGTGATGATGTTTATTCCTGTACTGATGTTTATTCCATCACACCGTTCGAACCAATCAGATTCAAGGAACCAAACTGTTGTGTAAATATTATTATTCAAATATATGTGGGAATTACAGTGTCAACAGAAATTATTCATGTAGTCCCCTACATGAAATGATTACGTTAACTTCATAATGAAATTAATTTGATAAACATAATGAAATTAATTTGTGACAAAAGTTAAAGATTTGTATCGCATCACCTCTTTAAAAAAAGCAGCACAAATTTGTATAAAGGTAATATAATGTATCTGTTGTTGTCATTTAACATATACAAGTATATTATATATTTTTAAAAATATAATTAAAATTATCATCAATCATCATACTGTCATGATCATGTGGTTTAGTTTCTGTATCCCTCTGTTTGAGTCATATTCACCATTTGCCTGAGTTTTCATTCAGAGTTTGTTACCAAACCGAAAGAGGATATAAAACGAAGAAAAAACAATATTCCGTTTTCCAGCTCCTCTTGAACAGCAGGATCATTCCCCTGAGGACCACAAAAGGGACTTTCTTTGTCAGGATCGCTTGTTCTGCATCTTTGGTGAAGTTCTATGTGACTCTATTCACCATCTGCCCCACGGATGAGGACAGCGCCAGCCAAACTTCCGCCATGCCCACTATAAGCTACGATCTCGCCGCGAAGATCGAGCCAGAGCGTTTGCCAGAAGCCACGTTCATATTAACACGGTCTCATCCCAAAAAGACTGACGTTTTGGGACGTATTTTGACCATACGTCAATATCAGCCTTTTTAGGGCCCCCTTAAACGTCGGTAGATGGTGATCCCGGGCCGTCATACAACTGACGCTTTACCTTTAACGTCAGTTAGGTGACGGGTTAGGTTTAGGGTTAGGTTTAGGTATGGGGTAGAGTTAGGATCCCATAACCTCATCTACCGACGTTTAAGGGGGCCCTAAAAAGGCGAATATTGACGTATGGTCAAAAGACGTCCCAAAACGTCAGTTATATGACGTCTTGGGGTGAGACCGGGTTGTTCATATCGGAGCCAGAGCCCATCGTGGAGTCTGAACAGGTGTGTGAGCTGGCCTGGCAACATTGTCCGTCACGGAGAGCATTTTAGTGAAGTTCAGTGTACACTCCTGTCGCTGAGGGGCATTCAGTGAGCTGGGTATATTATTAATTGATAAGCTGGATGATGAATTTATGTGAGACTCCAGTTTCCACTGATCTTATCTAGTCTCAAGTCGTCATCATCACTGGTTCAGCTCACTTCTAAGTTGCCTTATTTGCTGCTGGTTCCGTCCAGTTCAAGTCTTCTTCGTCTCATTGGTTCATCCCAACTCCAAATCGTCTTCGTCGTTGCTGATTCAGTCCAGTTCTAAATCGTCTTCGTCTCCATCTCCATCTCCACTTGATCAGCCCAACTCCAAATCGTCTTTATAATCACTGGTTCAGTCCAGTACCAAGTTGTCTTTGTCGTTGCTGGTTCCGTCCAGTTCCAAGTCTTCTTCGTCTCCATTGGTTCTGCCCAACTCCAAGTTGTCTTCCTCTCCAATGGTTCAGTTCAGTTTCAAACCGTCTTCCTTGTTGCTGGTTCCGTCCAGTTCCAAGTCTTCTTCGTCTCCATTGGTTCTGCTCAACTCCAAGTTGTCTTCCTCTCCAATGGTTCAGGCCAGTTTCAAACCGTCTTCCTTGCTGCTGGTTCCGTCCAGTTCCAAGTCTTCTTTGCTGCTGGTTCCGTCCAGTTCCAAGTCTTCTTTGCTGCTGGTTCTGTCCAGTTCCAAGTCTTCTTTTCTGCTGGTTCCGTCCAGTTCCAAGTCTTCTTCGTCTCCATTGGTTCTGCCCAACTCAAAGTCGTTTTCCTCTCCAATGGTTCAGTCCAGTTTCAAACCATCTTCCTTGCTTCTGGTTGAGTCCAGTTCCATGTCTTCTTCATCTCCATTGGTTCTGCCCAACTCCAAGTCGTCTTCCTCTCCAATGGTTCAGGCCAGTTTCAAACCGTCTTTCTGCTGCTGATTCCATTCAGTTGCAAGTCTTCTTCGTCAACCTTGGTTCTGCCCAATTCCAAGTCGTCTTCCTCTCCAGTGGTTCAGTCCAGTTTCAAACCATCTTCCTTGCTGCTGATTCAGTCCAGTTCCATGTCTTCTTTGCTGCGGGTTCCATCCAGTTCCAAGTCTTCTTCATCTCCATATGTTCTGCCCAACTCAAAGTCATCTTCCTCTCCAATGGTTCAGCCCAGTTCCAAATCATCTTCTTTGCTGCTGGTTCAGCCCAGTTTCAAGTCGTCTTCGTCGCTGCTGGTTCAGTCCAGTTCCAAGTTGTCTTTGTTTTCATCTCCGTCTCCACTGGTTCAGCCCAGTTCCAAATAGTCTTCTTCTTCATCTCCATCTCCACTTGATCAGCCCAGTTCCAAATCGTCTTCATCATCACTGGTTCATTTAATTTCAGTCCAGTTCCAAGTTGATTCTCGGATCTGCCTTGGGACTCTCGGTTGTCAGTCTTGGTTTTATTCCTTGGTCTGGAAAGCACTAAATTGATTAATAAAATTGTGAAGTTCAATGTGAAAATTGTGATTAGATTCATTTATAATAATATATGTGTAATTGTAGCAGCTGTTTTTCATACAGTTTAACCGTGCAGTCATAACTTCCTGCTGTACGTACGTTCCTTCCCAGAACACTGCCACAAAATGCAAAACAAGATTCTGCTAAACATCTCGTGTTCCAAGAAATAAGATATTTACAAAGAAACTCACACGGGTTTAGAACATGGAAGTAAATCATGTTTGG